CTCCTAGCTAGTATCTCTGGATATGGCTCAGGGGGGTAATAAGGGCAAGAAGCTGGCAGTGTCATTGCGAGAGAAGAAAGATGCTGCAAATGCAGCTCTAGCGGCCTTAAGGAAAGAAGCAGGGGAATATAACTCTATGGTAAGTGTGTGGCAGCACTGCATATGACCCTTGATGCATTACTTCTACATATTTTACATTCCACTTTTCGAAACAAGTGTGTTGTCGCAGTAAGTAGAAATATATGATATAAGTTAGCTCATATATGTATTTATTCCAGCAAGGATTTGGGACAAACTAGGCAGTTAACTTGATAATTATGGTTTCGTTATTGACAGATGAACAAGATGGAAACAATGGCTGGTCCAGAACTGAGGGAGTATGTGTCACAAAATAAACACACACTGGGTAGCAAGATGAAAGCAACAATTAAGAAGGTCAGCATTTAATCCATGATCTATTCTCTGCATCATATTGGCCATTCAAACTTTTGATCACTAGTTCCATATATGATACATGAACTACTATATATATTGCAGCTTCTACGGAAAGGTAAGCCCAAGAAGAAGAGAACCATGCTGCACCCGATCGTAGGCGCAACACTCAAATTTCATAAAGATGATGACATGCCTGCAGTTGTTGGGTCTACAGGAGATGCATAAGGAGATGGATAGACTGACCATGAAGATAGATGATACCTATGGCTATCGTAGTACCCCTTGTCGTCTGAAGCTATGTGTCATTACTGTTTACCGTGTCTTCGTATGGCACCACTATTATGTCGTACTTGGTGCAAAATGAGTCATATAATCTCCTATCAAAAGAAAATATTGTCGTCCATTGGTTACCTTTTAAATGCTGTTTGGTTGGGCCCTCTTGTGACATGATCTGATAACACCGTTAATTAATTGCGCTGCTTCTTGTTTGTTTCACCTCCGATGTAATCAATTACCAGTGAAATAGCTACCGAGCTTTCAACGAGTTGATTATGATCGATTTGGGAGGTAAGCGATAGCGATCTGTCAGTCCCATCAATCAAAGAGAAAAAAATTGTCAGCTCCCATTTGTCCCATGGTTGCCGAAGGGAAGCAGCCTCCCTCTATCTAGTACTCATCCATGCTTGATCACTCCAAGCTCAGATCGAAGGAAGGATCCACCCGCAACCCACTCCATTGGACTACTACAGAAATAAGTTTTATGCAAAATGGACAAAAACGATCTTCAAGGCCGGTTCATAAAACCGTCACTACACCATCGATTGTAAAGATGTACCATTTGTAGCGTCGGGCATCTAACCGTCCTGTAAAAGCATTTCTAAGGGCGGCTTCGTTAAGCAATCTGCTCCTAAAATTACGTTTTTCCGAGGTGGTTGGTTTACGGCAACAGTTGCTTTGTGACAACCGTCCTTGTAAATAGATTTTTAGTGGCGGTTGCTCTATGACAACCGTCCTTAAACCATGTTTCTAGATGCGGTTGCCTTAATGAAACCGTCTTTAAAACTACTTTTTCAACGACAATTGTGGCAAGGCAACCTGTGGCAACGCAACCTCAACTGAAAAAAAAATCCAGGGGATGTTGGCTTAAACGAACTGCCCCTAAAAAGCTATTTAAAAGGTCGGTTCTTCTCAACTAAACCGCCACTGAAATCTTGTTTAAATTTTTGAAATGTCCCTCCATATTTGGAATCTCGGTTTCCCACCAAATTTCAAACCCTATTGCAATTCATCAAAAATAACTTCATATATGTATACATTATTCATGTACTAGTCAATTAATACACACTTGATTTACAAAGTATTTTTGGGATACTTTAGTTCATAAACTATTAATTAACATTGTGCTTCATGTTGACAATGAACATAAGGACCTTGTTGAAGCACGAAGAGCCTCGAACTTAGGATTTTTCACATAGTCTGAAGTCTTATTGTCACACGTCTAATGATAGGACCAAGGGATAGGTCCAAGGTACCTGCTGGGCCTAAAGCGGATCTGGTATAAACAGTACGTGGGGGTACTGTAGTGCCACGGGTGCTGTAGCGCGCCCACTGTTGTCACGGGGAGTCGGTTTAGATTAGATAGGACTCGAGTCCAAATCTATAATGACATTTCTCGTTAGATTACTTAAGATGCAAGTCTACTCGGGACTATAAATACAGAGGCATTGTAATCATCTAGAATCAAGAAAGAACAGCTTAAGGGCTTCCCTACCCCTCTCCCTTCTCTCTCTCTCCAGCGTCTCCCTCTCCTCTCTCTCTGCGCCATCTCCGTCTCCTCTCTCCCCAAACCCTAGCCGCCACCTCTCCTCCACCATAGCCGCCGCCCCTAACCCTAGCCGCCGCACCCCTAGGGCCCTCTCCCAACAGGGCTCTTGCACTTATCATAGAAGTAGTCATTCTCGTAGAGGACCTCTCGCATGAGGAACTTGCAGAAACCATTGGTCCACACAGAATAAGATAGGCCCGGGAAAGCTTCTTTTCAACTCGTCCTGCATGGAGCTCCGTGATTCACGGAACTTCTTTAGTGGAGCTATTTTTGGTTTGGGGTTCGGTTGTAGCTAGGGGAAAAGTTACACCAAATGGGGTCTTGATATGGTTTATCGATGTTGATAGCTTGCATGGATTTTAGATAATAAAAAAAATAGTTTCAACCTCCTTCTAAGAAGAAGCATCGGCCCACTCTTATTATAGCCACACACCTATCATTTAAACCTATTACAGGTTTATAAGTAAAGACCAAGATGGTAAAGGAAAGATTATCCATTGCACACAAAGAACTGCATATTTTGATCACACATTATCATCCATCCATGTTCAATAATAAAAGTTACTGTAATTGTGGTATTTTAAAGGAAAAAAATCAAAATTACTTCCTGCAAGTTTAGGCAATGTTCAGATACCCCCTAATCTATCGTTTGGTTCGATTTAGTCCCCTCGGCATTTCAATTGGTCTAATTTACCTCCTAACAAGATTTATCTTTTTTGTTTGTTCATACAAGTTGAATTTTGATCTAAATAATTGTGAGGTGATAAAGGACATCATGTTTTACATTAAAAATACATTATTCATTATTACTTTTTGTACAATTTTGTATTTCTTGTGTTTATTGTTTATTTAATGTCACAATGTTTCAAAAACTAATGAAAATTTATGATGTATTTTCTAATATAAATGATAATGTTCATTATCAACTGACAAAATTTGAAATTAAAATTTAACTTGTATGTAGCAAAACAAAATAATCTTATTAATGGGTAAATCGGACCAACTTAGATAATTGGAGGGAGTAAAATAAACCAAACGTTTGTTTATAGGGTTATCAATAATACTGTGGGTAGGGCGTCCATCCGAGCGTATCCGTCCGGACGCCCAGTTCCTGCGCAGCAATTGGGCCAAAACAGACACGGGCCTGTGGCCTCCCTAACTCATCTGCCTGCTGCGAACATCCCCCACTCCCGACCGCAGTAGCAGCTTTCACCGCACTATCCGCTCGCAGTGGCCGTGTCCACCGTGCCATCCGCCTGCCCCACTCGCGATGCGCCATCCACCAGCCCCACTCTGTCGCGACCATCCCCGTCATGCCCCGCCCTAATCTCGCGCCCCACCGCGGCTCCATCCCGCACTACGTGGGGCATCCCCTGCTGCGCCCCCGTCCACCTTAGCTGTTGCAGCTATGGCGTGCACCGCACCATCAGGAGGAGGTCGCCGGCTGTTGCTCTTGACGTCCCTTACTAGCTACCGTAGTTCCACACTAGGTAGATCGTTCTATTCTGTGTTTCAAGTGTTTCGGGTGTTTCAGACTTTGTGTGTTTAAGGGGGTGTTTTGTTCCCCTACTAAAATTTAGTCCCTGTTACATTGGATATTTGGACACTAATTTGGAGTATTAAACGTAGACTAATTACAAAACTAATTGCACAGATTGAGACTAGTTTACGAGACGAATCTATTAAGCCTAATTAGGCTCATGTTTAGTCTTTCTAATTAGTATCCAAATACCCGATGTGACATATACTGAACTTTAGTCCCTGGATAAGTGTTTGATCTGGATGTTGCATGTCTTGCAATGACAATATATGCATGTTGCAAGCCTATGTTTCAAGTGTTTCAGGTGTTTCAAATGTATATTTCAAATATTTATCTGGATGTTGCATATGTTTGCTATGGCTCTATACGCATGTTTCAAGTATGTTTCAAGTGTTTCAGATGTTTCAGACTCACATTGCAAGTGTTTCATCTGAATGCTGCAAAAGTAGATCTCGATGTTGCATATGTTGCTATGGCTATACACGCATGTTTCAAGCGTATATTTCAAGTGTTTCATCTGTTTCGGATGTGTATTGCAAGTGTTTCATATAAATGTTTCAAAGTAGATATGGGAGAGCACATATTTCAATGACGTCGGTGGATGGCTGACAGCTGCCTGCTCGTGCTAGAGGCGCCGTCGTGAGTCACCGTGCGGGCACCTGTGACCAGCAGACGCCTCTGCGACGCACATCCGCAAGCAGGGCAGGTGACGGGACCCATGTGGGGCCTGGGAATGGTGCGGGCGCGGGATAGGCTACTGGGGCGCTGGATGGGCGTGGGGCGCGGTGCGACGTCCGGACGCGGGGATGCGGACGCTGGATGGGATGCGGACTCGGGTGGTGAGATACGGTGTGAGGTAGCGCGGGCGTTGCGTTTGGACGTCCGGGCGCTGGCCCTTCCATAAGGTTATTTAGACATTGACCAAACTTGAGGGGAGTAATCTGAACTTTTTCCTTTTTTTTAATACATACGTGATCTCTGCGTCTTCTGATATAGATATAGAGATGAAAATTGTTAATTTATTTTCTGACAATAGGGAGGGGAAAAAAAGAGCTGATGACAGAGGCATTTGAGAGGCAGCGCCAAAGAAAACACGATGTCTTCTTGGTCTGCTGGAGCGAGTGCAGGCCTTCTCGAAAAGCAGGGGAGTGCATGGCCTGGCCAGACTTGTGGCGTCGCTCAGTGCTCATGGTCATGGGCTCATGACTCGAAGGCCATGCTTTCAGCCTCGTCCTTGAGGGACTCGTACATGAACGACGACAGGTATCGCTCGCCGAAGCTCGCGAAGATAGCCTGCAGCCACAGACGAAGAACAAGCGAAATGAGAGAGCCATTTCGTCACACACTGATACCACACGTCCGCAAGATGACGGGTTTCTGATGACGCAGGCAGAGGCAGCTTACGACGATGAGCTTGCCCCTGTTCTCGGTCCTCCTGGCGACTCTGATGGCGGCGACCGCGGTCGCACCCGACGATATCCCGACCTGAAAGTGAAAGGCAAGACCGGGGTCGTCATTAGTTCGCCAGCAGATGCAGAGCTGGAATTGGAACAGCAGGGATCGGTGAGGTCGCTCGCTCGCCTCACCAGTAGCCCTTCTTCCAACGCGATCTGCTTCGCCATGCCGGCGGCTTCCTCGTTGGAGACCTGGAAGACCTCGTCGAGGAGGCTGACGTCGAGCACGCCGGGAACGAAGCCGGCGACGAGGCCCTGAATCTTGTGCGGACCTGAGCTCGGACAGACAGACCGACGGCGTGTCAGTGACGGAGACGAGCGTGACAGAGCATGGCTGCTGATCAGATCACTGCAGGTGCGGGGTGCAGGCGCGGCGTCTCACCAGGTTTCCCTCCGGACAACACGGCGCTGTCCGACGGCTCGACGCCGTAAATCTTGATGGCAGGGTTCCTCTCCTTGAGGTACCTCCCGGCGCCGGTGACGGTGCCGCCGGTCCCGATGCCGGCGACGAGGACGTCGACCTTGCCCGCGGTGGCGGTCCAGATCTCGGGCCCCGTCGTCTCGTAGTGCGCCCTGGGGTTGGCCGGGTTGGCGAACAGCTGGAGCACGTGCGCGCCCAGCGTCCGCGCCGCCACTTCCTGCGCCTTGCGCACCACGCCGTCCATGGTCAGCATCGGGTCCGTCAGCACCACCTCCGCGCCGAACGCCCTCAGCACGCCGCGCCGCTCCGTGCTCACCGACGCCGGCATCGCCACGATCAGCCTGTACCCCTTGGCCGCCGCTATGAACGCCAGCCTGATGCCCGTGTTGCCGCCCGTCGGCTCGATCAGGACGCTCTGCACCCAGGCCGACCCATGAACTCATTCATTGGTACCAGCAGCAAGCCAGATTGCAACGAGCTTGGAATTGCCATGCATGGCGATCTCCCTCACCTTTCCAGGGGTGATCGGGCCCTTCCTCCGCATCAGCGATCATGCTGTAACCAATCCTGAAGGTGCACAGACAGTATAGTAAGACTGCAACATTGCATCAGGAACAACGAACAAATGAGGCGCTTGATTGCATGCAGGAACAAACAAGAAAGCAAGCACCTGTCCTTGACGCTGGAGCAGGGCGCCATTATCTCAAGCTTGGCAGCGACACGCGCCTCGCAGCCATCCACCACCTTGTTCAGGTACACCAACGGGGTCTTGCCAATCAACTGATGAACAAATTTGCGGCGAAAAAGTTTACTTAACTAGTAATTCAGATGGACAGATACGAGCTAATAATGCCTGCAAACTACTACAAATTTGTTTACGCACGCACTTGGGTGACATCTTTGGCGATCTTTGGGATCTGGTCTTTTGCGGTCTTTGAACCCTGATCCTGGACGGTCTCAGTCTCATCAGAGCTTGGAATTGGACTCCATCCACCCATGGTGATCTGCTGATAGATGATGTTGCACGAAGCACTTGGGAATTGAAGCAAATGGTACGCGCAACATGCAGCGCTTTTATATATAGCGTGCGTCCAAGCATATATTTGGTATATGTGGTTGGTGGATGCTGCAAAGAAATCGCACAAACGTCTTTGTGTTTATATATTGCCCTGCCATTTTGTGTTCGTTCTCGGTGCTCCGTGATCTTTTATGTACAGCAACTTTTTGGCTTCGGTGAAGAAGTTGTCCTAGGATCTGTCGATCTTGCCGATAGCTACAACAAAAATTAAGGTTGCTGGTGCTTACAAGGTTATAGCAATGATAAAAGCCTTGAAAACTGACAGTACAGCAGGTAAACTTTGTTGCATGTTCTCATGAGACAAACGACAGACTTACATCATTGTGTATGTGTACTTGACACGTACATACGTATCGTGGACGACCTGGATGACATATCTTGTTTCATCGCGACGCGACAAAAGTTAATTTAATTGTTTTCTTCGTTACGTTTGTCCTGGTTTATATTTTTATGTTTGGCGTATTACTATAACCCTTAGTCACATCTCTCAAACCGTTAAATCAACTCATCATTTGATCGAACAATATCATCCATACGCTTCGGCTCATGTTGTTCTCGAGAGAAAAACATGGTGGGGTGCACAAATATTCTCCAATATGAAGAAGGGAGATGCTAGCGCCGGGACGTCCGGTCCAAAGAGGCGTTCATACATAGCTTCCACCAAACCTGTAAAGTTTTTTTGATTCCTCCCGTAACTCTCACCCAACCTGTAAAAGTTATCTGATTCCACCCGTAACAGAGAGGGACATCTCACGTACGCACACCCGCGCCCTGCTACACACACATGCGGGGATCGCCCGTGCCCCAGCCACCACCCCCTCTGCTTCCCATCCCTCTGCTCCCCACGCGCATGCACAATGTCAGGTGGGTCCCATTACAATATGTGCAACATCAGATCTATTTTTGTAACATCTAGATGAAATACATGCAACATACGTTTGAAACAACTAAAACACTTGCGATATATGTCTGAAACACTAGTAAAAACACGTATGTAGCCATTGCAAAATATATGCAACATCCAGATGAAACACTTGAAATGTACGTTTGAAGCAACTGAAAACACTTAAAAACATACGCTTGCAACCATATATATATGCAACATCCAGATCTACTTTTGCAACATCCAAATGAAACACTTGCAATATACGTATGAAACAGTTGAAACAGATGGAACATACACTTGAAACATACATGTATAGTCATTGCAACATGTGCAACATCTCAATCTATTTTTGCAACACCGATATAAAACACTTGCAACATACCTCTGAAATATCTAAAACACTTGAAACATACGTTTGCAACACGCGCTTTCAGCGTAATATCTCCTTGCTGTTTGAGAACAGAGGTTCGTCTGCGTGTGGACTTCACCGGTGTAGAGCTTGCCGACGGCGCGGAGCTCGCCACTCCGGTAGAGAAGGACGCAGCAAGTCCGCTGGAGAAGGCCACGGCGGGTCCACGCGCTCTAGAAGACCATGATGGGCGAGAGGCACGTTGGAGAGGGAACAAGACGGGCTGTTGCGCTCTAGCGTGGTGGAGATGCCAGTTAGCGGAGCGGAGGAGCGGTGGAGAGGGAGGCACAGTGGAGCATGCGGTTGCCGAGGCGGCGTTGTGTGAGGTGAGTTTTTTTTAAACGGTTGGGGGCGAGTGCGAATGGATGAGCAGATAAGAATTACAGTCGGGGGCGGTCCCTGGGCTAGCGCAGGCGGCCCACCATCGGGAACGTCTAGTGTGGATGGACGCAATACGAACAGAATTGCCGTATGAAGAAACTATCATAAATATTTTTGAGGTGAATTTGGTCGTGGGACACTCGAAAAATATGGAATTGGCCGCAGCACACCGCCAACTCCGATATTGGTCGAGTACCATTATAAAATTAGGTTCGTTTGTTGTAACACGCTGCTCCATTAAAATATGAATTTACATTGGTTTTGGAGAGATAAGATAAGGGAAATGACACTTTTGCCCTCGTCATCTTCCTCTTCCACCCCTCCCATCGGCAGCACTCCCCTAAAGCTTGAGGGGCAGCCATTCCCATGGTGGCCCTCCATCGAGCGACGGCGATGCTTCTCCCCGTGGCGGTACTCTTCTTGTGAGTTGTGACGGCACGCCTCCCTATTGCAGCCCTCCCTAGGCGGCGGCGGCGGCGGCGGCGGCGACGACATCTCCCTCTGGCTCCCCATGCCGAGCCAATGCTGCGCCCCCAAACGAGCCAAGGCCCTATTGCGAGCCTGGGGGGCTGCCGGGCCGCTAGGCCATGCCCCCACCGGAGGTGCCGCCGGGCTGCAACCTTGCCAGAGCAACTCCCGCCCCTGCGTCACATGAGGAAGAGGAAGAAGATGAGGGCAAAAGTATCATTTCCCTTGCTTTTCCTCTCCAAAATCAGTGGAAATTCATATTTTAATGAACCCGGTTTCCATCCCACAGCCAAATTCGTGTTTTTAATTAGTTTGAGTATCTTGAGATCGAAACTCTACTATGATGCAAATGAATTGTAGCAAATTCTTCATTTTTTTCTTTATTTGTTAATTGAAAATATTTATTTTGAAATCCTGCAATAACAGTTAGTAAGGAAAAAAACGAAGGAAGAAACAACCACCACTCATGAAGGTGATCCTACAATTATTCTTCTGCGAATTGTTCGGGAAATCAATCACTATGAAAAAGTTCTTCATTTAAACTCCTTTTCATTTTCGTGCTTCTAATACTTCCGTATAACTTGGATGCTCTTGGAGTGACGAACTCCAATTCACTAATTGCTGATATAGTAGAAGATTTCACTCTTAGAGCAGATCATTGTAGATAAGGCACGTCATGCCAAATGACAAACTGACAACTACATAGATGTGAAATCTCAGCTTTTCCCCCGCAAAAAAATGTTTCTGTTGTGCTATTCATATTCATGCTGGGAAAATCTTAGCAATGCATGTATGGACACAATTGAAAATAGTGCAAAAGGCAATTCAGTAATCAGTACAGTAATGTTGGAGGTCACTCGATTCTTCTACTGCAAGTAATGTCGAGATTTTAAAACTTGTAGAGCACATTTTCGCACATTTGCCCAGGCATGTGGGTTTTCTATATATGAACCAGAATCATGTGTGTTTGCCAACGAGTTGAGTTCAGCAACATTTGTTACACTTGTCAGGCACCTCAATATTGACTGGCCGGGTTTCATAACATCGGGCCTGTTCGGCTAGTATTAAAGTCGGCTGATAAGCCGGCTGAAGTTGTTTTGTTGTGAGAGAAAAATACCGTAGATTTTAACTGATGCGTATCAATGCAAGACCTGCTTAACACTAGGTGGATATTTTTTTATTCACATCACACTCACAGGCGAGGTTTATCCGTGCCACTACTCGATTGCTGCAAAAAGAATCAGTTCCTTCAATCCTGCTGTGAAGATGAAACGAAGTAAAGTAGAGTGCTACAGAACTGAGCTCACTGATACGCATGTATAAGGCATGAACTCAGGAATTAGCAAGCATGGCGTCCCTGGTTACAGATGAGGTGATGATGATCTAGGAATCTCAGAGCAGAGGAGGCTACAGAGAGAGGGAAAGCACTTGTGATTACATTACAGAACATCACCTCCCACACCTACACAGACAGAGCTAGCCCCAAAAAGACAGCATCATGAGAAGAGGGACGGCGAGCTGCACCGCCCTAACCTGAAGTTGCAGGGTGCCCATCCCCACGTCGTCCTGCAAATGCAAATTAAAAGCGTCATCGTCACCAATGCATTGGTGGAAAAGAAATCAGAGGCCAAGGTGCAGGAAAGCGAAAAAGCTCGGTAGATGCAAAGCAGCAGCAATGGGAAAGCAAAGCTTGCAAAGACGGGAGGAAAAGCTCGACGAAAGGTACAAACTAAAGTAGACAGAGGCCGTACCGTAATGCCTCCCAAATTACTGCCCCTAAGAAAACACTTGTGTTTGAGAAAGAAGACGACGATGCCATTATAGAGAGGAAAGAAGCGGTGAACAGTTGGTTACCCGGAGTTGCTGTCCTGGTGTGGGCATGGACAGGACGGTGGCGGAGTCCGTGACGCCGGCCGGGAGCGGCACGGCGGGGCTGCTGCTGATGAAGTCGGCGCTGGTGGCCCCGCCCGGAGCCTGCGCGCTCGCGCTGTGGTGGATAGACGAGGGCGCGCCCGTGCTCCGCCGCTCGGACGGCAGCCTCGGCGTGCCGTCTTCGTCGTCGCCGCCGCTGCCGTCCCAGCCGGACACCGGCACCGGCGCGGGCGCGGGGCCGAGCGGCGCGGGACGCGGCGAGTAGTCCGGGACGACGACGGTCATGGGCACCTTCTCCTCGCGTCCGCCGCCGCGCTGCTGATCGAATGCGACGGGTAAGGCGATTAGAAGATAGTACAGGAAGCTGACGACGGAAACTAGCACCGAACCGGAGAATGCCGTGCCCGTGGGGCAATGCAGCGCTGGTGCACACGCCGACTGAAGCTGGCGGAAACTTTACCTGGGGAACGTGCGCGCTGGTGCGCACGCCGAAGAAGAAGGCGCGCGACGGCTGCGGCTGCGCGAGGAGGCAGCAGAGCGCCAGCGCCAGGAGGAGCAAGCGCGGCGCCGGCGCCGGCGCCGGCGCCTTGCCGAGACGCGGCCATCCTCCCATTGCTCCGCCTCCGCCCGTGGCTGGGCTGCGCGTGCAACCGGGCCTCTCGGCTGCCGCTGCCACCAGCGATGCCATGCCGCGCAGCGCAGGAGTCCGCACTAGGCAGGGCGTGCTCTGAGTCTGACGCTATTTGGGGAGTGTGGCCGTTGATGCCAGCTTCAGGTGGGGCGCGCAGTGGCAGTGCCCGGTCGCTGCAGCTCGGTGCACTGTTGCAGCGTGAAAAGCGAAGGAAAGGAGCAATGACCAGTGGCGAGTACTTGTAGTGCTGTGCAAACGTGTGAGGGCACTCACAGCGTGGAGACTATGATAGTCTATGTAGATATTAATTATATTGTATGGTAGGTAATTTGCTGGTAATTTGCTGACGTGGCAAGTAATTTAATGAGGAGAGAGAAAAAAAATTCGAAAAACAAGCGGCATGTTCGCTGGTTGGTTTCTGGGCTGATAAACCCGACTGGTGCTGATTTATTGTGAGAGGAAACCACTGTTGACTGGCTAATAAGCCCTGACTGAAACTAACAAGTGAACAAGCTGAAGATCTAACTAAGAAGCTAAGTCTTTACGGTTATTGATGGACGAGAATCCACTTGTAGCCCATTGAAAAAAGCAAACATGGTTTTTATAACTGTTTATGTCTTGTGTTGTAGAAGATCTTACACTGATAAGAATAATTTTATAGTACGATGTCTTATGCTATAGAAACTGCCAGTTTCATGCGTCAAGAGTGCCCTAAGGCTGTGACTAAGCGGGCACCTTTTGCCAACTTTCTCGGGCCAGGCGCAACGGCGAAGAAATACCATCCAACGAGCCGGATTAGACTAGCAAGTAGGAAAACTCTATTAGCAGCTGATTGCCCGCACTAAAGGGTTTGTTTGATTTGTGCCATGGACCAGATTTGCCTCGCCTGGTACGTTCCTTAGTGTTGCCTGGGATACGTTTGGTTGGTATCCTCAAAATGTTCCTGGACCAGGCAAGCCCAGCCTCAGCCAGGCCATAAAAAACGAGCGCCTGGCTACAGCACGCTGGTTGCCTGGGAGATGATTAGTACTAGTTGGTTGGAATGAGTGTAGATTTTGTTTTTTTTCTCTTTTCATTTATTTCCTTGCTGATTTCTCGGTTTTAGAACACACGTGGGAGTTGATTACTGATTAGTACTAGTTGCCTGGCTGCCCAAACATCCTTCTATCCATTCCTTAATAATCAGGTGTATGCATTGTTAGTAAATAATCTATTAAAATTATTTATTTTTTCATTATTATTTAAAAAATGCATTGATTTATGTTATTTTGTTGTTTATATTATAATGGTGTACTATATTATTTAAACAATATTAAAGTTACAATAGATATGAATACATTATATCTCTTTATTAATATTTTTAGGCACATGTTTCCAACCAAACAACTTCTAACTTATCTGGTCAGGCAGATTTCATCGATTTTTCAGGTAACTCTCAAACAATATTTTTTACCAGCCAACCTTACCAGGTCTCCAACACTAATTGCCGTGTACATTGGGAGCTGGCACTTGTCGGGTAATCTTTGCAACTTCTGTGTGTGAGCATGCGTTTGGGTGAAGGGGAATATGGCTGGTGCGGTGGTGCTGGTGCCTGGTGGTGTCGGATCCGGCCAGGGCGCGGAGGCCGGAGCGAGAGCGTGAGACTTTACGGGACTCGGGGTGCCTTTTGGTGCCGATAATTGTTGCATCAATGGGTGGCACGGCCACCGGGCCACGTGCACTCGAGTATGGGTGCCAATTGCCATTGGGGTCAGGGTCAAAGCATGGACAGCAGCAACCTGGCACAGTGGCACGAGCGATGGTCAATCTAAATTTCTCAACTTTGCTGCATTGCTCGCGCCTCGCGGGCTCGAGTTCCTGAAAGACCTCCAAGGGACAACCGGACAAGACGACTGGAAGAGGTGATAAACTTTATCAACGTTATTAAAGGTTAAACGTTCATATTTAACACATACGACTAATAAAAATTACTATAATAACTTTTAGTGTCTTTTTTGTTCATTTTTACAACACAATATGCATATTGTACTCTGCAATTTTTGTTCATTGTGATAAACTTATCAAGTACTAGCTTATATCTTGTGTGCAGCTATATTCATAGTTTTTTTGTTCGTTTTGAATGTCATCGCCATGTATCTTCATGAATTTATGTTTAGTTTTTTTTTCAAATGTGATTTTACTAGTTCTCATACTTTTTTATCCTTTTGCGAGACATGTATAGACACATACATTCAGACCAGCAGTGCCAAGTCAAGGATTTAAATATAGGTCGTCAGGCCTAACCAACTTAGCTAAGCTCAATTCGCCATACTTTTTACCCTTATAAGTTAAGTTTTCACTTTTTTTTGATGTTGTTGTATGCAACAACCCCACTCCAAAAAGGAGACAAATGTGCAGTGGCAGACCCAACGAAAAAATCAGTAGGACAGACCGCCACATATATACACCTTTATCAGTATTCCGGTCTAGACACATAGGTATACCATATTTATATCGGTTCGTCACATAACAATTATATTCTAATCGGTAATTTGGTAAACAAATGGTATAGGCAAAGATTCAAGTTGATTACCTCTAAAATGAAAAGCACATAAGAATAATTTTTGCTCCATAGTCTACATAATTTATCATACATCAAATTATTAAAACAAAAAAAAAACATAGACAACCTGCAACCAAAATAAATTTAGTATGTGATAACTGAGAGAATATTTAACAAGAATGTCAAACATAATAGGAAAACATACCAATCCTAGTGGATGTCGCTATGAGTCCCCTAGCTCTTCTTGTTCTTCAAATTCAGCAATATTAGTGCTGTTCATGAGTGCTTGCCCCGAGTTACTACCACTTTTGGCCGAATTTCTACTAGTAGAGAAGCTTTTCAAATCTAAATAACCGTTAAGTTGAATTCACTAACCAATGAACAATCTCTATCTATTTAATTGACTAACAAAGTAATCAAACCACAAATTTGCAATGAATTAATGACAATAATTTTTTTCTTATAACGCTTCTTGCTCAATGGAGTTGGAGCTGCTAGCTAGCCTACTTGCAGTACCTCTATTGGACCCAGCTCCAACTTCATCTCCTCCCCTGCCGACTACAGGTGGTAGTGGATTTGGATAATACAAAATTAAATTGGATTTTGGTTGCATTGGATGAGACCTATCTGTATTTGGATGTTCATGATCATTTGGTCCAATAAAATCCAAAATTGATTGGACATTAACTCAAAAAGTCTAGTGTCCATTGGATTCATGTGGACTTGACAACTTGAGGGCTAGACCAGTTTTTAATTTATAGTTTTAAACTTATAACATGTGGTCCACGTATATATCTGGTTATACTGCTCTACACAAAGTAGCATACAATCAATTATGTCATATCTAAAAAAAAAATCGGTTTCACTAAAATTTAAGGTGTGAACGCCGTGTTTTTAATTTTAGGATCTGACTTGCAACATAGGACCCACATATATATCTAGTCACACAAGTCTGCACAAAGAAGTAGACAATCTATGGTTATGATACCCCGGGTATCTCAAGACACTGATTAGTTAGCCACTCGGACGACCTCACAAGCTAGTGCAAGCCCAAGCGACCGTGGCCCAACTAAGCTATATAGGCCCGTGCCAAGTGTTGGGACAGGGAGTCGGCCACGACCACTTTTCTCTCCCTTCACCACATGCTGCTCAGCTCCACACGACCTCTCCTCCGTCCCGACCTCTGGGAGGAACGGAGAGGGGTCAAGCTCCACCAAGTATGACTATCCCGACAGGGACAGGCACGCCTGCTTAGTCTGCGAGGACCAAAAGGACAACCGTCTCGGAGCAGATGCCATCCCTGCACCACATCGCAGACATAAGACAGGACTGCTTTAGCGGTGACGACAGGTATGGTAGCCCACCGTCCAAATATGAACCGATGGGACAGGCGTACGGCCCCACCCACTATGGGATGGGGCTCCCGTCTACGGCTTTGACTTTCAAGGCCAACCGAGCCAACGAAGGCCACGACTCCAGAGCTCATGATCGTGGTCATCGGCTTCACGACCAGCAAGACAACTAACGACCCGGGAGCGGCGACCTACTCCTGTATGACGCCCTCGGGAGACCAGGAAACAATGACGAAGGCCACGGCGAGACCACGTCACACAGGATGGCTAGTGAACCACCAACATGCCAATAGTGCCGCCACGACCGACGCTGTAGCGCCACCACCCCATGCCGCGACGTGGGCACAAGACCATGATGACAACAACGTTCGGACGTATGCTGACACCAAGACAAGACAACCTTCCTTACACACCAAGATAGCTAGTTTCCCCTCCCTCGGCTTATGACCGCTCGGTCAAGAGAACCTAACTCTTTTGTATGTGACCTGGCCCTGGACTCTATATAAGGGCAGCAGGGCACCCTTCTAAGGGGACGGACTCTCGAGACTTGATTCGGGTAGTCCCTCTCCACACTCCTATCTCTTCCCTCTTCTTGCATACCCCATTATAAGAACTTCAGAGCATTCAACGGAGGAACACACACTCGATCTTTCTCCGAGACTAAACGTAGGGCTTCAACCTGAACCAGTATAATTCCTTGTGTCTTTGATGCTACCATCGTCTTCCTGGAGCAGCACGACATACGATAAATTCATTCATCGGGTGACAAAACACCGACACAATCATATTAAGTTATCTCCGAAAAAATTCAATTCATTTTGCTAAAATTTTAAAAGATGTGAACACGAGGTTTTTAATTCAAGGATCCTGGTTTTGACATAGGGCCCACATATATATCCAGTTACTGCACAAAGCAGCGAGTAATCATATCAAGTCATCCAAAAAAATTCAATCCATTTCACTAAAATTTCAAGGTACGAGACAAGCTTTTAGATTATGAGATCCAACTTTTGATATAGAATCAACATTGTAGTTATAATAATTTTGTTATTATTGGATCATATTGGGTGAATTTGGACATATGAGCAACTGGATTGGACATTAATTATTTTGTACGAGGATACCCCTTGGATTTTAATTGGATTAATCCATATGGATTTGGATGCTAATCCTTTGCCACCTCTAATGCAAACCAAGAGACAATAATAAAAGGACAAAGATGCGCTTAGCTTGATTTAGTATCACCAGTGTTTCATTGTAACAGTGTAATCATTGCCATCTCTCATAAATAATTTCTCCCTTTAGGCCTTGTTTGGATGCATGTGTATTCACTCCGATCCACGTATGTTGAGTGGAATAGAATGATCCAACATATGTGGATTGAGATGAATACATACGCATCTAAACAAGGCCTTATACTGTCAAATGTCATCCATCCTCATTTTCCCTTTTATGTTGTCATCTATCCTAACCACAACATTCGGGGTCTAGTTGCAAGTCATGACTCATGAGCCTCTCTCCGACGACCGACGACACAGCCAAGATAGAAAATCGTCAGATCTTGGACGCACTCACGCACGCCGTTGTCTCTTCAATCTTCATCGCCACGAAAGAGTTGATCAACCGACAATCGCATCGCATCGCATGATTGAGCTGTCGATGTCCCTCGAAAAAGAATCGTTTCGTGTCTTGTTTATGACAAGTGATCACTGACAAAAGGTCCTTTTATTTTGTTTGTCACTTGTTTACGTCCACTTTCCGCCGTACGCCAAGATCAGGCACGCACATCGATCGATGATGCCCAAAGTAGCGTGCCGCCGCCACCTGCAGCGGTGAGCATAGTAGTTCGTCCTCCTACCTTGTACACGTACGAGCTACCCCGGTCAGCCGTCGAGGGCCACGCCTCCACGACCGATCGATGGCCAGTGGCGGCGGCAACGCGGCGGCGGCCGCCAAGGACGTCGTGGACGCGGAGGTCGTCATCGTGGGCGGCGGCATCGCGGGGCTGGCGACGGCGCTGGCGCTCCGGCGGGCGGGCGCGGCGGCGTGCGGCGTGCTGGTGCTGGAGCGCCACGCGGGGCTGCGCGCCACCGGCGCCGCGCTCACCATCTTCCCCAACGGCTGGTTCGCGCTCCGCGCGCTCGGCGTCGCGCACAAGCTCGCCTCCCGCTACGACGCCTACGAAACGTGCGTGCGTCGCGCGCCGAGCTCAAGCCAAACTCAATTCGAGCTCGATTCGCCATGCTTGCTCTCGACTTACATGATGAATCGCATGGCTGTGCGCGCAGATCCAAGGTGACGAATCTTGAGACCGGGGCGACGCAGGTGTTTCGCTTCGCCGGGAACAAGAACAAGTGAGTCCATCATTCCTGCGAGTTCCAATTCTTGACTTGTCACGCTGCTCAAGAAATTCGTCGGATTTTGTGTGATTTTGGGTTTGAAACAGTGACTTCACCTGATCGGCTGATCTGCCTGCTTGTTTGACTGAACTGAACATTTTTACAAAAAAGGGGTGAAGAAGTCAGAGTGAGGGCGGTTGACAGGAAGGCGCTGCTGGAGGCGCTCGCCGAGGAGCTGCCACCGGGCACCGTCCGCTTCTCGTCCAAGCTCGTCTCCATCGACACCGAGCGTGCAGCCGGCGACTCGTCGGTGACCGTCGTCCTTGGATTGGACGACGGCACGGTGATCCGAGCCAAGGTACACCTATGCAGGGTTGCCAATAACTCGACAGACACGAAAGAAGTGTACGACTTGTAGCGGTGTTCCAAATAAAACGAGGCATGATTCTTTGTTCTCTTGCACACGCGCGTTATCAGGTCTTGATCGGGTGCGACGGCATGCACTCGGTGGTGGCGCGGTGGCTGGGCCTGTCGGAGCCGGCGAGCTCGGGCCGCTCTGCCGTCCGCGGGCTCTCCGTCTTCCCTAACGGGCACGGCATAAAGCGGGAGCTCCGGCAGTTCCTCTCGGAGGGTCTCAGAGCCGGCATGGTGGCCATCAGCGACACCGATGTCTACTGGTTCCTCGTCAACAACACCGTCGCTGCAGGCAAGTGAAGAAGTCACTGCGCATGCCACCCTTCAGTGCCAGTCCAGTCCTTCGTTCAGAGCTCAGCTCAGACGCGCGTGCTGGTGCTTCCTGCGTTTGCAGAGAAAGAAGCCGCCGGCGACCCGGTGAAGACCCTGCGCGAGGTCACCGACAACCTGGCCGGCCACATGCCCGCGGAGTACCTGGACGTGGTGCGCCGCTCCGACCACGGCAACCTCTCGTGGGCGCCGCTCCTGTACCGGAACCCAGTGTCCGTCCTGCTTGGCGCGGCGGCGGCGCGCGGGCCCGTGACGGTGGCCGGCGACGCGTTCCACCCCATGACGCCCGACATGGCGCAGGGCGGGTGCTCCGCGCTGGAGGACGCGGTGGTGCTCGCCCGGGCGCTGTCGCTCGCGGCGACGCCGGACGAGGGCGTGGCCGCGTACGTGGCGCGGCGGCGGTGGCGCGCCGCCTGGCTGGTCGCCGGGGCGTACCTGTCCGGGTGGGTCGAGCAGGGCGGGACCGGCGTCCGCGGCGTGCGCGGGTGGATGGTGAAGGCCTTCCGGGAATGGATCTTCTACAGGTTCGTGTTCCCCAGGCTCGCCGACACCATGTGGTTCGACTGCGGCCACCTCACGCCGCCGCCGCCGCCCACGATCGGCAAGAGCCACCACCGAGTGAAGTCCGAACCGCGTGTCAGTATCACCTGCAGGATCAGGATCAGGATCCAGGGCTCCAGGCCTATGATAGCAGTATAGCACGTGTCCTGATGCGTGTTTGTAAGTTTTTTTTTTCGACGATGCGTGTTTGTAAGCTGTGCAAGATTTTACAATGTTTCAGGTTGTGCATGTGCTCAAAAAGGGCGTGTATGTTTTTGGAGTGACGTATATATATGAGATACATATACATATACTTGTGATGTCATGCAGTGGTGTAGAAGGTTTGCAACAAGACGCTATGCGTATGGGATTCCTTGTTTGTTTTGTTTGTGTGGTCAGCAAGAGATGCTCCACCTGTGCAAGCAAGCATAATGCATTTCCAATGTGGCTACCCGAAATTAGTCATACTAGCAAACATACTAACGCACCTGACTCCGTGTTATTTTTGGTGTTCTAACTGTCCAAGAAAAATCATAACTCTTCTATACGATATCAGATGAAGATGATTTGTACATGAAAATTATAAATCTCGATGGGATCCACAACCTTCTAATTTTGAGTTTTTGATTTGAGAACGTTAAGATGCTCAAATAAATAACATAAAATTTCAGCAGCATAATAATCAACACCGGTGCTTGTCGCATCAGAAAAACAATATCTTTTCTATAGGTGTCAATTGAAGGTACTTTGTATATCAATTTTTTCGCTCTCAATGAGATTAACAACTTTATAGTTTGAGTTTTTACATTTGAGATCGTTGAGATGCTTGAGAAAATAATATAAAGTTTCAGTAGCATATTAATCGTGCTTCAGGGCTTGTCACCTCCTGAAAAATATATTTTTTTCAAAGGTGTCAAATGAAGATACTTTTTATAGTAGCTATCGATAAGAGCTACAAGTTTTTTATTTTGGAGTTTTTCATTTCAGATCGTTAACATGCTTAAGAAAATAATACATAATTTAAAGGGCATATTAATCGCGTATCAAAACTTATCATTTTAGAATAATCATATCTATCCATATAACGTTGAATAAATATTTTTATATGATATGAAATAAGAAATATATGATTTTTTCTAAAAAAATTTGTACACGATTTATATGCCCCTTAAATTTTGTATTATTTTCTTCAGCATATTAACAATCTCAAATGAAAAACTTCAAAACTAAAGACATGTAAATCCCATCAATAGCTACAACATTGATATAAAAAGTATCTTCATTTGTCACCTTTCAAGAACAATATAATTTTTATGAGGCGACAAGCCCTGGTGCATGATTAATATACCGCCAAAACTTTATATTATTTTCTCGAGCATCTTAACAACCTTAAATGTAAAAACTTAAAATTATAAAGTTGTAGATCTCATTGAGAACTTCAACTTTGATATAAAAATTATCTTTATTTGAAACCATATAAAAATATTATTTTTCTAATATGACAAGCCCTATTATGCCTTTTATTATGCTGCTGAAATTTTATATTATTTTTTGGGCATCTTAACGTTCTCAGATGGAAAAACTGAAAACTAGATAATAATTGTAGATCTCGTCGAGATCTATAATTTTCATATAAAAAGCTTCTTTCATTCGACATTATATCAAAGAGTTACAATATTTTTAAAGTTGAGTCTTGTGACCCCATTCCCGGTGGCGCGAGGTGTGATAAGGTTTTTCACGTAGAAACGCCGTCTAACATGGTAGATCCTGCTGCGCCAACGCATGTGGCACAATAGCGTTATTTTGTTATGCCAGCCGGACTGGCACGACGAAAAAGGTTAGATCTACACATGTTTTTTAGACACGGTTATTATTAAAATATTAAATAAAAAATTAAAAATATAAAAAAATCCTGCTTTCTTAAGGCCTGCTAGTGTTATGTTCCACCTCCACTAGCAGTCCTCCTCCACTGACCACTGCCTGAACCGCGGAGGAGAAGGCGAATGTTCTAGAGAGATATGGCGGTTTTTTCACGTGAGGCACTGCAGGTACATCCGCATGGACCTCATTGCACACAATCCAATTTCCGTGAACAAGCAACAACGAACGGCGACATCAAGAAACCCAGTGCCGGCACAGGCCAGTGGCCTCAGCCATCACCATCAGAAGTTCAGAACCAAAGCTATTTCCGGCAACCCCCACGCCCCCACGCCTAAAACCACAGGTTCAGACACCTATCCAGTTGGGCGGCGGAGAAAGGACAAATCAGCTTATTAAGGGTCTGTTTACAACAACTTCATAAGCTGTTGTGAGCTGTTTTATTTGTCAAACACTCATTTCTCCCCTAAGACATGAATCGAGATGAAGCCTTAAAAAAGTAACTTATCTCAACTCTCTCTTTCATTTATTTCTCCCATCCATGCATGAAGTTATTAGTGAAACTGTTTTGCTAAACAATTTTTTTCCAAAACAGCTCATCTTCATCTATAAAGTTGTTCATGAAGCTGTTTAAAAAAAAAAACAGTTTTACTAATAAAGTTGAGCTGTGCCAGAGAGGCCCAAGATACGCACACGTCCTTCTCCTTCCACGCGCCGGTACGGTGTGGCGTACAAGAGTTGGCCATGAGAGTACACGGCTGATAACATACGGCCTCAATCTCGGGATCAGGGGACGCCCGGCCGGGGCTGCCAGATCTTCTTCAGCTGTAGTGCACTGGTGCTTGCTTATAAAGCCTGGCTCGGGCGGGCGAGCTGAATTCTAATCCAAGGCAAGAATCTGCATAAGAGGCAAACAGTGTGTCGCAATTGCAAAGGATCAAGAAGCTGAAAGGGTTCAAAGACTTCTGTACTGCACTGTACTGGGGTCTGAAGAATTGAATCTTTCCATTGTTGGCACTTGCAAGGTGAGATACAATCGACAAGGTTTTCTCTTTAAACATGTTCAGACAACTGAAGATGCCTCATGTTTCCAGTGTTACCCAGTTGGACTCCTTAAGCTGATTTTTTTTCTTTTTTTTTTACTTTGCAGCAGAAGGGATGGAAATGTCGGTGCACGCTACAGAATCGTTCGACATAGAGGAAGAGTACAAGAACACACTGCGAACACAGTCCAACGCGTGCTTCCTGTCAAAGAAACAGCGGCCAGAGGAAGAAATGGAGGTGTTTCTTGACACGCAGCAGGACGACTTCACATCTCTGATGCTTCAGAACACGGTGTTGATGCGCCGCAGCGCAGCTCCTACAGAGATGGAGCTCGCGTTGGCAGATTACTTCGACGCCAGCGCTGAGGCATTGGAGATGTGCAGGCAGCTGCTCAGGAACGTCAAGAGCACCCAAAGAAACTACCGATCCATGGACAGGTTCCTTGCGGCCATGGCCGCAGACAGCACGGCAAGCACTAGTTCCAGAGCTTCCCTTGCAGTTGCAGAGGAGCCGCCGTTTCCTGTCAGGAGCAACCCTTTCTGCACCACGACGCGAAGCAACTTCAGGCAGATCCACGACAAGTGCTCCTCCATACTCCACACCATCAGATCAAGCCACGGGAGAGTGGCGAGAAAGCTCAAGATCGTGAAGGCTGTCAAGAAGCTCTCGAGGACGCTCCTCGTCATAGCGAGCGTCGCAGCTGCGGCTGCCGCCATCGGCGCGGGCCCATATCTGCTGTTCTTGATCGGCCTGCTGATCGGGCCAGCGGCGGCCGCGGGGCTCTGCCAGATTGCGCTCAAGAGGCGGCCGCTCACGGCGACGACGACGAAGGGGCGGTCCGGCGGCAAAATCACAACGGCTCTGTCCCTCCTGCAGGACCAGCTCGACACCGCGGCGAAGGGCACTTACGTCCTCGGCAGAGATCTCGACACGTTGAACCAACTCGTGGCGCGCATCTCCGACGGCATCGAGCGGGAGAACGACATGGCATGGCGGTGCGTGGAGGCGGCGAGCGATAGGTGCCCGGCAGCAGTGCTGGAGATGGTGAGCGAGCTGAGGAGGAGCTGCTCGGCCTCCGGGAGGCTCGCCGAGGAGCTAGAGGAGCACGTCTGCCTTTGCCTTGCCACCATACATAAGGCTAGGGTTTTGGTGATCCATGAGATCCCCAAGAAAGCATGACATTTACGAGGTGTTTAGTCCATCATCTTCGTACAACCTCTAAAAATAGTTTCATCTAAAAATAATTCATAATTTTTCATATGAACTTGATGAAGATAAACTTTGTATATCAAAATTATTGTAGCTCTTGACACGATCTAAAATTTTATAGTTGAGAAGTTTTTTGTTTGAAACTGTTTAGAGAGTCCCAAAATATTATTTTCAGTTTACAGATTTTGAAATTTCAAGTTTTCAAATGATCTCTAATGTTGATATGGTTTATATCAAAGTTATATTTCTCAATACAGTCTACAACTTTATAGTTAAAAAGTTTTTTAATTGAAGTCGTTAAGTTCATAGATTTTGTTCAACATTTAAACTTTGTACACGTTTGTTGTTGATAAATTTTTGATTTGAAGTTTTTTAGTATCTCAAATATTTGTTTTAAATTCACATATTTCGAGATTCAAATTTTTGAATTTTTCAAACGATCTCGCATAGATAGACATCTTATACCAAAGTTGTAGGGCTTGACAAGATTTAAAACATTATAGTTGAAATGTTTTTCATTTGAGTTTATGTAGGAGCTAAAATATTCAATACAAGATTACAAAATATTTATATAAAAAAGATAGCATCCTATATATACTCACAAGTGAGTGTGTGGAGTAATGGTAGTTGGGGGATGCTAGCCCTGTGTTGGTTATCATTTGACACCATTGTAAACGCTTTAAGTATGATGTATATATGTAGTTGTTTTATGTTTTCTTTCTTTTTCAAAGTAAATCCTTTTAATTCCTCTGCAAATTAATTATATGAGTTCTTTTAGTGCCATTGGGAAAAGTTGATTTCCTTTTTGTTAAAATTCACACTCACTTCATTGTCATTACCTTCTCATTCCACCGAAGAAAATTACTTGGAACCAAAACATCATCCGTGAGACCCCAGCTTCCATGGCTGCCACGTTGTGTCCATAAAAAAAATTAGTCGTGATGAGAGAAGCGGCTCCTTGGTGGAATCTAAATGCCTTGAGTCCTTTACTCATGGAGGAAAGGTGTTGTGGCGAGATGGTGGATGTGAGATTTAGTTATCTAGCCATGTGTCAACATCAAGAAAGGGTCGCTTAGAAGATTGGAGAGACTAGTGCCCGGACGCCCGGATGCCACATCCGTCCAGACGCCCGCACCTGCTGCCTCCCCGCACACAGCTTGAATCAGTGAGAAAAGGCAAGTGAGGCTTGAGTTTGACCATGTTGTCATAGGGAGATCAAAGAACAAGGCATGCAGCTCGTGCCCACCCGCCCGCTATTGTAGCACCTGCCTACTCGCTGCTGATGCTGTTGTCGCCATGTGCTGTTGCTGCCACGCAAGCCGGCCCGGGCCCGCCTGCTCCTACGGTATGCATGCCCCTGTTGCTGAGCTTGCACGTGGCCCCCCACGCCCACTACGCTTCTTGTGCGTGCGAGGACTGCTGCGTCTCCGTGGACCACCTCCGCTGCAACCACTTCCCGCGCCTACTCATGGAATACTTGCAACATAAAACATTTCCTGCAACATACGTCCGAAACAAATGAAACATTTAAAACATACTTTTGCAACATATGTGTATGGCCAGTATAACATATGCAACATACGTTTGAAACAATTGAAACATTTGAGACATATAATTGCAACATACGTGTATAGCCAGTGCAACAAATGCAACATCCAGATAAAACACCTGCAACATACGTTTGAAACAACTAAAATATTTGCAACATACAATTTCAACATACATGTATAGCCATTGCAACATATGCAATACCAGATCTACTTTTGCAACATCCAGATTAAACATATGCAACGTACATATGAAACGCATAAAACATACGGTTGTAATATATGCTCATCTACTTGCTGCCGCCCAATAAAGGCTCATTGACGTGGCGCGGGGGAGCGCAGCGCGAGGCACGAGCGGGGACGTGAGGCGCGAGGCGCGACGGCGTGCTGCACGAGGCACGGGTGAGGTGGTGGCATGAGGGGGTCTAGCACAAGGCGTGAGGCATGAGGCACAGGGCGCGCGGCACGAGGTGCGATGCGCAGGAGTCACTACACCACAACACCACATCACCGTCAGACATCTGCCGCTAAAAATTATATTTATCGATGGATGATCTGTCGCTAAAGATAACTCATAGACCATCTGTCGCTAATTTTTCATTTAGCGATTTATTGTCTATCGCTATAGATATTGATATTTAACGTTGAACTATTTATCGCTAAAAACAAGTATATCGTCACTCTGTCTGTTGCCAAAAATAAGGGGCCCCACCACACCGCTTACATTGAACAACAATCTCATAAATCCAAATAACACCCATACCTCTATAGTATAACCATGTTTTTTTTGTAATAAACATGAGTTTAAAAATTAATCTTAAAGATTGAACTCAAATCGGGTTTCTAAAAAATCTTTTTCTTTATATATTTAATTTATGCATGGAAATTATTCATAAAATATGACAAGGTTTCAAAATATTTTGAACGTGGTGTTTCGCATCAAGTAAAAAAATGAATAGATGCACGCATCTTCTTTTGGCTATTTCATAGAAAAAATAATTGAAAGTGCAATTAAGCCCTAATTATGGGTTTTGGTGATAATGACCACGTAATTAGAGGACTAATGAGATTTATCGAGATGATAAGCATGCAATTTTACAATCGAGGATGTTATACAAAATAGAGGAGCCCCCAATTTACAAATGGTGACGACATCAAACTCAAAGGAGGTTTAAATTCTTTTATACTTTGAATTTGAGTATAGAAATACCGTACTATATAAGGGAGACGTGGGTCACGACAGGCATGAACCCTGGGCGAACGCGAGCACGAAGCCACAGTGCAGACCTAACTTTGGAACAGGAACAAGTCAGTCGTGCACAATACGACACTCTGTGACACCTATGGATGGCGTATCTGCAAGCAATACGGATGCTATAATGCACAAACATGATATGTATGAATGCACGTCCTATACGTCCTTTCACTGTCGCCAACCTAAAGGGTAACCGTTCTTAGATTTTTGGCACAGCGTTCTCTCCCTATAGCTAGTCGATACTATCGGACTATGCTCGAGTCAGTGTACCTGCAGAAATCTTGATTAAGTCTACCTAAGTCGGCAGAGTGCCATCTATCCTGGATACATAACCATAGTAATTGGGCTACTTATATAACATCGCATACAAATGTCCTAACTTTTTTGAAAGGAATTTGTTGTCAATTTTTAGTTTAGAAAAGGTTTTCGAAGCCTTATTTCCTCATTTACGCTCTGATACCACATGTGGAAGAATCGCCTAATCTAATACCTCCCAGAAGTGCTTGTCTTTCATTAGACACTAAGCACTCAGGGGAGGACACTAAATTATGTGGTCCCATCGGGCACACCCCAGGGGAGAACCCAAAATCCATATTTTTTGCCATCAGGATCACAAATGAGAGAATAAAGCTTACATCATTCTTAACCATTTCTTACATCACTTTTAATACAACATCAGTAGTATAATATTTATCATTATAACAATAGAATGTAATCATATTATCAGAGTTATAAACAATTTAATTAAATAGCGGGATATAAACACGTGATTAGAATTACAGCGGAAATAATTATCTAAACATGACATGATGAAGCATTGATATGTGAACTAGGACAACAGATTATAAAACTTTTATTTGTAAAAACATTTAGTAAGATTTATAAATAAAAAATACGATCGCAGCGTAAAGGAAATCCTCTCTGAGCCCACCAGGAGGAATCCACACACAAAGATCAGCTCAAGCCTCCACCTGTAACCTACAACAGGGGGAATAAAACTCTGAGTACTCAATTGTACTCAGCAAGACTTACAAGCCGGAAAGAAAAGACTCAAGGATATGCAAGGCTATCGGCTTTGTGGGTTTATTGCATTTGGCGCATTACTAAGCGTGCGTCCTTATATTCGATTTTTTATTAATAACGCATTGGTTCATTAACTAACCATTCTATGTAAGCACCTATGCTACTTTCAAGCAGGTGGTAAGCAATCAGATTTTCTTTTTTCATCTTTCATCTTCAGTTCTTACTATGGTGCTAGACCACAGACAAGTCATACAGAGGAACATCGGCGATTCATGAATCAATGCCCCAACGCCCGAAAACACACGCCCGCTTGTACCCAAGGTGGTTCATTTCTTGTCCTGAGAAGGCCCCATCAAACAAATCGACTAACTTGAAACTAACTTGCAGTGCAAGAGACAACCTATACCAAGCTTATGTGAGTCCACGAGAGCAACAAGTCTTCCAAGCGCCCATACACCATGTACAAAATAAGTCTGTGACTTGCCTAGCTTGAATTCATACCCTTCGCACCATTTCTTCCTTTTACCCCACCAGCGAGCCATATGGAGCACCATTTTTCCTTTCCACCATTTATATTTTCCAAGTGAGGAATATATTTCCTATCTCTTGACGTGACAAACAATCACTCGACGCCGACAACATAGCAACCTGTGGTCGGACTCATAGGATAAAGATATATATATATATATATATGCAAGTGGGTTTCATTCAACTCATTAAAACTTGATGCACAAATATAATTTAAACTATAGAAAAGTAGGAGTTATACACCGGGGCTTGCCTGGGTAAGATATATATTAAAAAGTTAGTATCGGCATCGTCAGATCATCCACCATCATCTGAATAGAAAGCCCATTGCATCACCTCACGGAGAGAATACCATTACACCATCTTCGGAGCATCCTTCAATTGATCCGTGGATCCATCATCGCCGCATTGATGCAAATGCATAGATGTAAATAATCAACACGGACCCAACAATTGTTTTAGTTATACAAACCCAGAGGAGGCGCTAATTAAGGAGAGCAGCGCGAGTACCCGTGGAGCTGTGACTAGAGGTCCGACGCGCCAATACTATTACCAATTTATCACAACAATTCCGCTCTTTTTACAATATTAAGTACCTACAATTATATAGCGAAAAA